CTTGACACTTAGACAAATTTTAGAATTGAAATGTCAAATGGCAAACAAGCATACAAGGGATTCAAAGCCGAAAAGGACAGCAAAAATTTCTTCAATTGATAGTGAGTTCATTACAATTGGGGGCACTTCGGCCGTTACATCATTTGGCAAAAAATGAAAAGCTAATTACAACAGGGAATAGCCGATCAAGCCTCCGGGGCACCTTCATCCGCGGCTGGCTCTTCAACCTCGTCGGCTCCCTCCTCGGCGGCCTCTTCAGCCTCGTCAATTCCCTCCTCGGCGGCGGCCGCAGCGCTAGTGGCATCGTCCAGGAAGTCGAATTCAGTGTAGTCCGGCTCGCCGAGGCCGGAGCTTTCTATGGGGGACTCTCGCTCCGACAGCGGAAGCTTGGCCTGCTCTTCTGGATCCTTCATCAGCTTTGGCAGCTTCAGGTTCCGTCTAGCCCACCCAGACGTGTAATTCATGGCCTTCAACGCCCGGGATAGCCGCCGACACAGGAGCCTTTGCATCCGCTCCTGGCCCAGGTTGTAATAAACGGACATCTCCTGGCTGAAATACTCCCGGCCGGCGGGGGAGTTCATCCCCCAACTCTCAAGCCTGGCGGCCACCACTTCGTAGCACCAGGGAAGCCTCTCATCGGCCTTCCACCCCTCGGCCAGGAACTTCTCAACGGCCTCATCAGCAGCCCTCACGACGGCGGCCTCGGCCTCAGCTTTCGCCTTGACGGCCTCCTCGCTCTTGCGCCCCTCGGCCTCCAGCGCCCCTTGGGACTCCTCGAGCTCCCTTTTGCTCTCCTCGAGCTTGGCCAGGGCATCGTCCCTGGCCGCGGCGGCTTCATCAGCCTTTGCCTGCAACGCCTTGGCATCCTCCCGGAGTCGATCAAGGTAAGCTACCGCCTCGTCGGCCGAGGCAGCCTTCTGCTCCAGCCCTTTCAAGCGAGCTATCTCCCAATACTGCCTCTTATGGCTTTCCATAAGCATAAAGGCACTCTGCAGAAGGAAAACAGAGGTCAGGCAAAAGACTCTACACAGACGAAGAGAAAGACAAAAACATAGGGACAGTAACTCACTTGGACGAAGAGGTCCATGCCGCCCTCGTAAATCTTCTCGTCCCCGAGCTTCTTCAAGTAAGCCCGATCTTTGGCCGGCATGGCCTGGGCCAGGACGACGTGGCCAGGGACGAGATCATTAAACACGCCCCCGCCGACGGGGTATTCTACCACCTTCTGGTAGGTGGCACCGGCAATCTCCTTGCCGGCCCTCTTCGTCCGTGGTTCCTGGACGAGAGGAAGCGCTGGGGCAGCATCGTCAGCAACAGTAAGGTCCACGACGGGACCACCATCGTCCACGATGGGGACAGTCAGAGTACCGGCCTCAGTAGTCGGGGAAGGGGAAGGAGCCCTCTTCGTCTTCTTCGAGACGCTCACGCCGGCCTCAGTTAACTTTTTTTGGCCGTCAGTGGCCGGCCTTTTCTTCTTCGATGGAGCAGGCTTTGGGGCCGCATCAGCAGTAGCCCCGCTCCCACCGGCCGCGGCACGTCTGGCCGCCTCGGCCGCCTTAGCAGCAATCTCCTCGGCCGCTTTGGCCTTGGCAATAGCCATCATCGAACGACGGTCCATGACAAAATCTACAAAGGAAAAACACAAACAGATTAGTAAGGCAAAGGACAAAACATAAAGACAGAAAGCCGAAGAAAGAATTACCATCGGCCTCAGCAGGAATGCCCAAGTCCGGGCCGTCGGCCTCCTCAAAGGTGGTGGTCATCCTCGGCCAGAGTTGGAGGTCATCCTCCTTGTCACCATAGACATAGTACCTCACGAAGCCGAGGGCGGCCATCTTGTATTCAGTAATGTAATCCTTCACGCTCCTCGGCCCCCCTTCCAAGAAAGCCTCCACCTGAGCGTCCAAAATAGAGCTCTTCGGCGGGTCGTGCAGGTTAAACCTCCCGGTGTGGCCGAGGGAGGGAAACTCAGTGCCACTCTCACCAATGGACACAAACACGAACTTGCTCTTCCACCCATGAATGGACGTAGGCAAATCCGTGAAACTCCTCTTCTTCGGCAGCTGTTGAAGAGTAGCATAGGCCGCGCAGTTCTTGTGGCTTCCTCGGCCGATCTGGTACAAATTCATGAATAAGGCCGTTGTCGGCCTGTAGCCCAACTCCTCACACCGGAGCAAAAACCCCACCATCAGGGAGTAGCTGTTCGGCGTCAGCAGGGCCGGAGGAAGCCCTACCATGTCCAGGTACTCGGTAATGAAAGGGTGAAGGGGGAACCTCAACCCCTTAGCAAAACTCATCGGGTATACTCCAAAGTATCCTGGTGGCGGAAGAAGAACATGGTCCGTCGGCCTGGGTGCCCTAACCCGCCCGAACGGCCCCACGTACATCTGGGCAACGAGATAGTCGGCCGCACTGCTTTCCGGCTTGATCAGGAAGATGTTGGTGAGATCCAACTGGGAAGTGCCCGGCCCACTCTTCGACCTCCTCACTCTCTTCGGCTTAGCTGCTCCCTTCACAGCAGACACCGGCCTCGGGCACGGAATGACAGCAGAAGTGGACGCCCCGTCCACCACTCGGGACGCACCTACGTCCTCACCCTTTGAAGAGGAGGCGGACTCCTCGTCCTCGCCTTCCTCGTCCACTGGCTCTCCGGATTTGTATGGACTTAAACGCTCTATCTCCTCCTCAAACTCCTCGAGCACCTCGTAGTCAAGCGACCTCGTGGAGGGCTGGTCGTCGTAGGGGTAGTAGTCGTCGTTCAAACTCTTCATAACTACTACTACGGGCCTAAGGAGATTTAACTTAAGATCTAAGGGTGTTCAAACACCTAACACTAGATCACTAATCTAGGAAGCAAAATATGAAAAGTGAGGAAGATCGTGATGAACACTAACCTTGAACAACGACGAACACGAAGAACAAGCTTGGGAGTTTATCTCTCTAGAAAAATGGGCAGCACTTCGACAATTCAGAATACAAATGTGATTCCTCGTCGGAGGGGAAGGGGTATTTATAGACCCCTCCACCCAACGGTCACTACACGTGGCACTCTCCTAGTGGCCACATCAACGGCCACCAACGGGAGGCCACCACGTCACCAACGGGCCAGGCCCAACCCACATCAACAGCCCACTGGCAAACCAGACTCCAACGGCCCACACACTTGCCGGCTTTACAAGTACCAGCAAGCGCCCACAACGTCCCACTTGCCCGCCAAGATCACAACTGCCAAACAATAAGGAGACGGCAACGGCCGGGAACGTAACGGCCACAAGATCAAAGAACCCAAGAGCCCACAAGCCATCAGCTCCTCGTCATGACCCTTGATGATAACTCTCTACAAGCGATCTGCGCACAAGGGTTCTCCCACAAGGTTACCTTGGCCAGAAAATCGCCATGAGAGTTGGATTCAGGGGGACTACGGAGAGGCCGCTTCGGCCAGTGACTCAAGCAACTCCTTCACCCCTCACACTCCTCGGCCTGAAGCAGTGGGGGACTGGGGGACTACACCGGCCTCAGCAAAACAAAGCAGGGCCACATCATCAAAGAACATGAATGTGACCACAAAGCATGGCCACATCATCCATACAGCACAACGGAACTTCATCGGCCAACAAGCCACTAGAGGCAAGGACACTCATCGTCCTCCACCAACAATTAGTCTTGACGGGCCCTTCGGCCAAGAACACGAAGGCCAACCAGCAACGGCCAAAAGGAGTGCGCAAACACCCTCATCGGCCACCCAAAGGAAAGGACGCCATCGTCCTCAAAGCAAGGAATAACTTCAGTGGCCTCGTCGGCCCAAACACAAACTTCAAACATTAGCGCCCAAGCAAAACGTGCCCTCAACGGCCACCATTGAAAGAAGGACACTCATCGTCCCAAAACAAACACATTAAGGAAACAACGGCCTCCCCGGCCACAGCGAGGAACAGGTAACGGCCAAAGCACAGAACAGGATCACCAAAGAGGAAACAACGCCAAACGCCGCAACGGCTAACGGCCCGGGGATGGGGGACTCAAAGCACAGGAATCTACTCTCCTTCGCTTCGTCTACGTCCCAGCTTAGAGAGTGGGGGACTCCTGATGGAGTATATGGGTCTGAGCCCCAGGACCCACATACTCGGAAGAACGGAAAGCACAAGACAACAGAGTGGCGCCCTCGTCGGCCAAGACGCCCCCGTCGGCCGAAAAGGGGCCAACTCGGATTATGGTCCTGAGTCCAAGGAACCCGGGTGCCCTCGTCGGCCGTGCCCTCGTCGGCCGTGCCCTCGTCGGCCACGCCCCCGTCGGCCACGAAGACCTCACAGAATCGGATTTTATACTTACTCATTTGTACAGCCCATTAGTGGCTTTGTATTCGGCACAGTAGCGGTCCAGTTGTAAATGGGCCTCCCAAGCCCAAGGCTTGGGAGCCCAACCCTAATTTTCTCTATAAATACTCCCATTGGGAGTAGTTATATGGGTTACAAAATCATTCTATTGAAGCATATTATTGCACTTCTCTCTCTAGCTCTCACTTCTCTCTAGATATACTCTATCACTTAGGGCATGCCGTATGACTGTCTAGGCGAGAGCCGTTTTTTAGGGGTATATATATCAGGTTATCCGGGCGGGTCAGGCAGGCCGGGCCGGTTTTTTGTGTGGACGGGCTGGGCGGGTCGGGCCGCATTAACACTCCTATATCGGCCCCCGAATGCCCGATTAATGGGGTCTCAGATTTGTAAAAATTTATTAGTATATTATATAGTAATATTATATATTAAAATACAGTTAGTGAAGAAGAAAAATATAGATCAATCATTTTTCGTTGGTTCTTTTAATTCTCTTTTATTCAAATTGCTTGACTAATGAGTTGTATTACTTCAAATCAAGTATTAAGTAAGTTTTAGATAAAAAAAATTATTACATTATTTAATAAGTATTCAATTGATTTAAGTATAAGTATTTAAATTGATTTTTTTTTAATTTTCTATATTAATATGGGACATCATTTTTACCTTTTGAATATCCATGTAGCCACTGCCTGAGGTGGACTGCCCTGGTCGCATAATCTGTTGCATTCCATTGTTTGATGGACACCCTACGGAGCCGAGGTATCTCTGGAATTGTAGCTGCTGATGGAAATGGAAGACTTGTTGTTGAGGGAGAGGGGCGGTGTTAGGCTGCCGTAGCGGCGGCAGCTTCATAACAGGGTCACTTTGTTGCTTCTTAAGTACCGTAAAAGAAGCCTGAGATTGGGGCACCCTCTTTTCTCGTGAAGGAGTAAAATTCAAATGTGGAGTAGACTGTGTGATCTCTCTTTGGTGGATGAGAGACATGCTTAGGGGCATTGAGAAAGTTGGGTTGGATTTAAATTAACAGCCCGTTTGGTAGTACGAAAATCAGTTGATTTGACTGATTATGCTGAAATTTATGAAGTTCTGATTGAAGTGGTTGTATTGGCTGATTCTGCTGATTTAAGAAAAAATTATTTTTAAAATATATTTCATTAATAAAATAAAGAAAAATTATATGTAAAATAGCTAAAATGATCATCTACAGTAACTTGCGCCAATACAGCCAGAAAAGTAACCCCAACCTTACTTTTTCTGCTTATTACAGAATTCAGCGCGTGAAAACAAAAATTACGTGTTTGGTGAAAAAGTTGACTTATAAACCTGATATGTCGAAAAATAGTGTTGCCAAACACGTTCTAAAGAGTTTTGGGTTAGACTGGACTTAAACGCAATAGTAAATTGGGCTAAATGAGAAAAACTAATTTAAAATTACTATGTCTAATATTTTTTTTTAGAAAGAATAAGGTTGAACTAGACTTCACACACAAGCAGCTGTTTCCCTCTCTTATGAGGGTTTTGACATCCGCCGATCATTCGTGCGGCACTTGGGATTTTTCCTCTTGATTTCTTTTCTGTGTATTTGAATTTTTTTTGGGCAAGGTGATCTCGTTCAAGGGGCTTGACTATTTCGCTTGGAGTGTGCTCGAAGGTTGCTTACGCAAGATTTTGGAGCACCAGTGAGATCACTATAACTGTTCTTATGATTGTTGGTGCGAAGCTTCTGCCTGGTGCAAGTAGGGGTGCATTCGGTTCAAACGGGTTGGCTTTCAGCAAAACCAAATGTCGAATCAAAGTAAAACAATTCGGTTCGGTTCGGTCATATATTGAAAAATCTGGAACCATGATTTATTTCGGTTCGTTTTCGGTTTTTTGGTTTTTGCAAAAATATTTTGGTTGATTGAAAAAATAGTAATTGGAAAACAAAAACAAAAAAACAAACTACATCAAACTATAAATAATACTAATACAATACAAAAACATAATTATAATTATAAAAAGAGAAGAAACAAATGCCCTCCCGAGCAATGAATTCGAGAGTACATGCATATTAAATTAAAAAAAAATCTAAATTAATTTGATGCATATATGATTTTATTTGTGACTCATTTATAGTGTATTCGCTAGTTAAAATTTTATTTGCTTGTAGCCCAAATTTTGTTTTGTGCAACAAATGTATATGCTTGTTGCCCAAAATATTAATTATGTGGCATTAGAAGAATATGTGCTGCCCAAAATATTAATTATGTGCAAGGACATTTGATTTTGTGGCCCATACAAATTTACCTTGATGCACAAAAAGGATTTTCTTGTAGTGAAAAATAAAAATGAAATTTAAAACCGTGTAAATTAATTAATCATTTCTTAAGGTTCAATATATCGTTGGGTAAAAGTAAATACACTTGTGGATGGTGTTACAAATTTCCTAGGGTCAGGCGAACGTGTGTTCGGGGAAAATTAATCATTAAAAGAATGGAAATATACAGAAGCAAAGAGCAATAGGTCCGACGAAACAAGTACTTAATTGTTCGGCACTACTGGCCGGAAAATACAAGAGAAAAATACAAAGAATGTATCAAGATAAGAGGGGGAAATTAAAAGTCATAGCCTAAGGCCCCGTTTGGTTGGAGGGTTTCAGAGGGGAGGGGAGGAAAGTGTGGGATTTGTGTGTGTTTGGTTGAAGGAAATAGGGGGAAGAGGAGGAAAGTGGAAGGCTTTCAAAATCCTCCACTTCCTCCCATTCTAAACCCCCCAAATCGGGGTATTTAGGAGGAAACGTGTCGATAACCGCAAACTATATATCTCCTACGTGAATTGACGTGCACTTTGTCACGGTGCGTCAAAATAATTTCAATACTAAACACTTATACGTAGTATAGCGTACTAGAGTTCGTATCCACAGGGAAAGGAATAATTCTCTTTTTATGATACTTAGTAAATAAAAAGGGGGGTTTGGATTGAGTGACTTAATTTAATTAAGAACTAAGATGAACAACCTATATGTGTTTAATTCAAAGATAAAAAGGACTTGACATTGCTACTTTCCACTTGTTGATATATTTTAGTCGATCATTGTCATATCTATAACTTATTCCCTCTCGAATACTCAATCGGGGAGTATATCCACTTCATCGAGGGTAGTTATTAACAACGACCGTTCATTAATAACTCTTACTATTAATCAAATATAGAACAACGCCTTATACCGATTTAATAGTAGCATTTAATCTTTCTAACTCCTTGATGAAATCAATTGAGATTGATAACCTCGACACAAGCGGTTTCGGTTTAACCAACAAAATTAATCCCTCTTAAGTTTATTAACCACGACCGTGCATTAATAAACCGAAGTTACTTACTTGTGAAACCATCAACGATTAATCATCGGTTCGTTGATCGTTTCTAGTAATAATTAATATATGAAACAAAACTAGTTGATCCTTTAAGTAATGTTCAAAATATTAATATGAAATAAGAGTAGGAATTAATTAATATTCAAGGAAGAATATTATTAAAGAAGATGAATCCTACTATAATTAATATCAAGATGTTAACTAATTGTCATCTTAGCAACACTCCCCAATATTAATATAGAGGAAGAAAATACCATTCTAACTAATGTCGAGATGTTAACTAATTGTCATCTTAGCAACACTCCCCAACATTAATATAGAGATGGTATTAAGGAAAGAACTATTAATTAATATTCAAGGAAAGAAGTTAAGAAAATAACTCACAACTTTAATAATCAACAAGCTTCAAGAGCAACACCAAGAATGGAAGTTTAGCTCCTCATTTGGAGGCTAAACATAGCTAGAAAAATATAAAGAAATGCTATTCTAAACTGAGCTAAAGAGAATGAAAGAAGGGATGATTTTTAGAGGAGAAAAAGAGTGCTATTTATAGGTGTTTTTCAACACCTTTGGCCGGGTACCCGACCGGGTCAAGTACTCACCCGACCGGGTCCATGTCAAAATCAAATATCCTCCACGTTCTGGCGATCTTCAGCATGTTAAAGTGTCCGGGTCAAGTCAGACCCGACCGGGTGGGGTAGGGGACCCGATCGGGTGAGTGCAAAAATTGGATATTCTTCACGTTCGGGTGATCTTTGCACACCGGGTTGTCCCCGGTCACTTCTCACCCGACCGGGTGAGGTAGTGGGCCCGACCGGGCCATGCACTTTCTTTGCATTTTCGTTTTTCACTTCTTACCCGACCGGGTCAAGTATTATACCCGGTCGGGTATTTGCTCCTGGGCAGCCAAATCTTCTTTTTCTTCACTTCAAAGTCTTCCTTTCCAAAACCATAAATCCTAACTAAACTTTACAACTGACAAATAAAGACTAAAATACAATTACAACTGAAATCACATAAATGTTTACAAACTAAATAAAACGTTAAACAATTAACATAAATCAAACATAAAAACATGTAATTATGCACTACTAATTAGTGTGCATCATGAATGAACAAAACGTTATAATATAAAAAGGTAAAAAACAAAAAAATTGAAAAATTATAAAATTAAAAAATTAAAAAATTTAAAGATTAAAAATTTTAAAAATTATAAAAATAAAAATTTTAAAAATTAAAAAATTAAAAAATTATAAATTAAAAATTTAAAAATTTAAAAATAACAAAATTTAAAAATAAAAATAAAATATTAAAAATTCCAAACTGAAAAATGAAAAATTATAAAATTAAAAAAGTAAAAAATCAAATAAAATAAAATAATGACTCAAGACCATAGGAGTAATATTCACAATAGTTAGACATATATCTATTTTTTTAAGTAAGCTATAAAATAGAAGTAAATTGCAAAAATATTTTGATTAAACGTTTCCTCTCATTTCCTCCAACCAAACACAAATTTTTATCAAAATCTTCTTTCCCCTTCCCTTCCCTCCTTGACTCTCCCCTTCCCTCCCCTCCTTTGAACCAAACAAGGCCTAAGGGTCCGCTGGGGTATTAAGATCTAGCGAGACTTCCAGAGCACCAAGTACTTTGGCAACCCCATCATCCCTCTGCCACACAACCTCCTCATAGGCGTCGAGGAAGAGAGGGTCAAAACTCGCGGCTTCGGGATAAAAGGGCTAAGGGAAATGCCACTCGGGAACATGGAGATTATACCGTTCATCCTTCCTGACATTCCGCAGAGTCACTCCTACTCTCTCAACATCTGCCAGTTTAGGCTGAAAAGCCCGGATTTCATCACCACGACGATCCAGTCACTCTTTAAGCTCTTTAAGTCTCTTGCAGGGATTTAAATAGCGGTCCGCTACCGCTATTGCGGCCGTTATATGTAGCGGTCGCGGTAGACTAGATTCCTCTCTAGGAAAAGAGTAATCAGAAAGGAATCAAATTTCTACCCAAATAGTCTATATTCCTCTCTAAATAGGTTAGATAGGAACATAGATAGGAAGTATGGTTCCCTTCTAAAACCCTCCTTGCTAATTTGTAGTTCCTACAATCCTACCTAAGTTCCTCTCTACCTAAAGTCTTAGTATGTAATTCCTGCCTAAGTAGCTTTGTAAATGTTCCTTTAATTTCAAAAATGGCAAGAAGGACGAAACAAAAAATGGTAGAAAGGAACATGATCCCTTCTAGTATCACTGTATGAGTATTTTAATTATATAATTATTATAACAGAGAGGAACTTAGTTCCACTCCAAAAAAAGTGTAAATAAATAGTAATTAATAGAAAGGAACTCACTTCCTAAATATCATTTGGATGTATGTATATATATTACACACACGTCCATGAGATAAAGCCAATTTGAAATAGCAAATTATATCAATACTAAAAAGACCCAAAACATAGCTCTGAATATTCAAATACTTCAAAATATTCATACCAAAATATCATGACAACCAATCATTCAAAATATCTTAAAGCACGTCAAATAAAGTTCAAATGTGAAATTGAATCAATTATAAATGCAAATTCTAAGAAAGTTCGTCCTCATCATCTTGACTTCCAGTCCCCGGTCGATTCAGTTCATTGTTGGTAGCATGGATTGCTTGTGGAGCTTGTGGCATTAATTAACATACTCATGTAAGATCCCAATTGAGGTTATTGCGGAAGAGCATTCATATAACTAGTTTGTTGTTGATGTTGTGGAAGGAAACCCATCACCGAAGCTTGCTGAATATTTTGAGGCGGAAACATACTTGGGAACATGCTTTGTGACGGTTGGAACATACATATCGAACGGTGCAATTGGTCAATGGTAGCTGAAGCAGTTTGTTTAAATTGCTGAAGCATTTGGTCAATATACTTCGCTACCGCTACGGGCCGCTATTGCGGTGTGAATGGGAATCACGTCGAAATCCGCTACGTAACCGCAACGGATCCGCTACGCCGTCCGCTTCACGTAGCTACAAGCCACGATAGGCCACAACAGGACCCATCCGGCACCGATGGCATCGCATCACAACTTGCACGTTGTATTTTTGGCTTTCCAAGAAACATGTCGAGCTCATGCGTGCATGCCTGATGCGTACATGCTGAGAACTACATACATGAATGATGCATGCGCGTGCAGTGAACTCTAAATTGTGTTTGTAATAATTACTTAGTTTAGCAATACTTCTAATTATTATTCTCTTGTAATCGTCATATTCTTCTTGGTTGATTCATTGTTCACATATAAATGTTCAAAGAAGTATATATTGATAATGTTTTTATTAACTTTATCATCCATTAATTCAATTAAACAAATTTATGTTCAATATAGTTAATGAAGATTTGTTAAAGAATACATACATAGTACAAAAAATCATGATATTTCTATCTTGTGCGTACGTACTTGAAAATATTTCACGCCACTATGACCGTTGTACACATCGCATCGGCCACATTAACCGCTACCGCGAAGACCGCTACCGCTACCGTTGTCGCTATTTAAAACCCTTGGTCCATCTGTTGTATATACAGACATATACGGAGGCACACAAACATGAGTACTTGTAATTGTGTGTGTCTATAAATCCACACAAATATATACGTAATACTAACTCCATTCAAGTATAATTAAGATTAACATAAAATGTCCATAAATCCACATGATTATATACGATGTATATAAGATTTTAAGATGCCACCACAAAGCTAAACCTACTACTTCTCCACTGGACAAACATTAAAATTATATGGACATATTCTATAAATCAATCAAGTACGAAATGACAGAGTTATATAAGTTCAAGGTAGCTAGCTAGCCAAACATATCATTGCAAAAGCATGCATGCAGAAACTTATCACAACATTAGTTTACATGAGCATGGCCATCAACTCCCCAATATTGTGGTTTGATTAGGCCATCACTAGAAGTAGAAGGCTGCATGTTTCCTTGAACATCCATGCAGCCATTACTACCTGAGGTGGCTTGCCCGGCCGCTCGCATAATCTGCTGCATTCCACTCATGGATGAAAACCTAGCAAACCCTAGGCAACTCTGGAACTGTTGCTGCTGCTGCTGGAGGACATGTTCTTGAGGGGGAAGGGCGGCGTTAGGCTGCAGCAACGGCGGCGGCGGATTCATAACAGGGTCAGCACTTTGTTCCTGTGTACGAACGGAAGAAGAAGCATGCGATTCCGGCGGAACCAACTGTGTTTCTTGTGGAGGAGCAGAACCTGATATGACTGGCTCCTGCAAATGTGGAGTAGACTATATATATGTTGGAAAATGCAGTTCGTACACGGTACACGTCATTTTACTCGTTCGTCGAATTGTATGTGAGAGACAGTTTATTTTCGTTTTGCAAAGAGAATCGTTTTTCGCACCGACAATTTTTTATGTGTGACTTGTCCCGTTGTCCGTGGCACCGACAAAAAAAATTACCAGTGTGAAAAATGTTTCTTTTAACAAAACAAAGAAAAAACGTTTCTGCACAGACTATTTGATAGGGCTGAGGCTTGTAAAAAGGCGTGTACACAAAGCATGTACTATGTACTATTAACCTGAGAGGCTACTTCTGATCCTTGCGGTGGTACCACATCCGCCATTGCAGCTAAATATGTCAAGTTCTCCTGGAGAATGTCTAGATACCTTTTTTCATATAGAGACCAAACCGTCAAACTTAGGAAAAAATCAGTACCTATATAAAAGAGGTTCTACAAACATAAGCTAGCTAGTATAACCGAAGGATGGAATCAAGGGCGTAATTTTTAGGGCAATTTATTAAATTGAATTAACGAAATTAAAGAATTTATACACATTATAATGTTTACGAGTTTTTCTCTATTGGAAAATCTATACTCTAAATCTAAACGCACCGATTAAGTTACTTTTAGGTATAAAAAACAAAGAAAAAGAATACGAAATGGTTTTCATTGATGGACGATGAAGAACCTTTGGCGAGTGTTCAAAAATGACCGAAAAGCGTTAAATTCGTGCGTATTCGATAAAAAAAACATGTAACCATATTATTCAATTTGATTTATGTGAAATCTTGACATCAAATATGAGATTGACATGTAATTATATTGTCCAATTTGACCCTTCTCTCATTCCAGAAATGTTTTATATATACATGTTTGATGAATAATATGGAAAGCAATCTTGCTTCACCCAAGACCATTTCTGGAACTGGCTGATAATTGTAGTTTCACGACAATCAGATAATAAAAGCACAGAGCAGAGTGTAGATGAGATGAATTGAATAGAGTATTGAATTCCATAATGATACATGAAGTTTATAGATCGAGAATTCAATACTCAACTCCAGAACCACGCCCCTCTCTCTAAATGTCTGGATGCGATTACAAATTTAGTAAAAGTTAGGTTTACGAAATTATCGATTAAAAAACTATTTTATAAAAAAACATATTTTATTAAAATACCATTACAAAAAAAATTACGGGATTGACACGTAACTTGGCACGAACTTATCGATTTTTCGTGCCAAATAGCTCGTGCAAAGTATTTTTGACACGGATTTGGAATTTCCTTGCCAAAATCTCTGTCAATCCCATGAATTTTTGTAGTGTACAAAGAGTAATTATACACAATAAAATAAGGGTGATTCTGATTGCAGCCTCCCTTTTGCTAAATACAACCTCATATTAAAATTATTATTAAATAATATAATTAAACATACTTATTTGCCCTTTTAATTTGGCACTCCTCAATTCCATCGTCACTTTCACGGATCTGAAGACCCGGATGCTACTGTACAACGGCGCAACGACCACATGGTATAAGGTTTTATGGGAAATCATCAATAAAGTTCCCTTTAATTCTCTTTATTTCCCTTTAATTTCCTTTAATTCCCTTCAATAAACCAAAATAAGGATACAATAGCCAATTACAGTATTTTTAGTTATTTAAATGAGATAGTTCCCGAAATAGGACTACAACAGTTTGAAAATTCTAAAATATGACTGTCATGTTTTTTATTCCCAAAATAGGAGTAATTACTGCCAAGTTAAGAAAATAGTAAAATACCGCCATGTTTGAAGTTTGATAATGCCAAAATATGACACTAATTAGTCCTATTTTGGGAATAAAAACATGACAGTCCTATTTTGGAATTTTCAAACCTTTTTAGTCCTATTTCGGGTAATATTCTCTATTTAAATTTTATGAAGGGCTGTGAATAGTAATACTGGGCTGCATTTAGAATTGCCCTAAAATAATTACTAAAATAATTACTAACACTAGCCTTCACAATTTAACCATATTTAGTCTTGAATGATTCAGGTTGATTTAATCATGTACGGAGTATCTTGATTGCAACGTACGTACGTTATGTTTTCAATTCAGAATTCGATGCACGGTAATACCTTCTATGCTAAATTGCTGGTCTTTCAAATTAAACTAATATTTTTATTACATTAAGGATGTTTTTACTTGGACTAATTCGTCCAAGTAATTACTCCTATTTTGGGAATATTTTTTTTAAACTAATTCATCCCAGACCAGACCAGATCAGACCAGACCAGACCAGATCAAACTAGACCAGACTTGGATAGTTATAAAAATACAAAGAAACCAGACCAGACCAAACTAGTTCAGACCAGACCAGACCAGACCAGATCAGACCAGACCAGCAAATTACGGTCCAAGTAAAAACATCCTAAATGCAATATTACTTACATTAGTGTTGTTGAACTTTCTCACGTATAGAAATATCATTTGTTGTTTCTTAATGCATGTGTACATTTTAAAAGTCAACTGGATCATAACATATACCGAGTCTATAGTAGGAGTATATCTCTTTAAGATATTATTTCCAGAAGAGACTGCAGGAACCGAGTTTTGCAGCGCATTATGCCTGATAAATATGCGCCAAATATTACGTACGCCGGATATTACGTACGTAATACTACCTCTTTCCCTACGTTTGAGACAAAAAGGTTGTGACTCGTTTTTAAGAAAAAGTAGAATTACGTGGTTGATATTAAATTGATAAAGTGTAAATAAAGTAAGAATGAATTGTAGTCACTCAAATATTACCAAATACGGTATGAGACAAAAAAGGTAAAACGGAACAAAGTTAGGAGGACGAAAGGAGTACATATTAGTGGTATTACTTATGTCTCGCTTCATTATTTACATTGTGAAATGACACAACTATTTTGAAAATAATTAAATAAGATAAGTTGAATATATTTTGAGAAATAGTTTTGATAGTAATATGTAGTATAATATATTGGGATTGTTGATGATAACTGAGACATTATATGTATTATTTTTAATATTTGATGATCAAATTTTCATTTAAAAGTATCGAATGTTTTCTAGAATAGAAATAAGAATTTTTATATGGAAATCTAAAAAGTTAAAGTGAAAACTTAGAATGAGACAAAGAGTACTACAACCTTTACTTTTGGGTGACAACTCCGGTACCCATTTAAAAAAATGGGGGTACCGTACCTATTATTCATTTAATTGGTCCAAATAGGTATATTATTTTTAATTTAGAATTACATAATTCAACTGCAACATATTCATTGGTCCATGTGGACAAAGGTATGGTACCTTACGGGTACCGTAGAATCTACTTTACTTTTGCGTGCACGCAGACTAGGTAGCATAAATCAAATACGGAGTATATAATCAACTCACTCAGCACTTTCGGCCATTTTCCCGAGATTATTGCATTCCATAATAGCCAAAATCAGTTTTGTGTTATCTTGGAGGATCTGCATGAATCACAAAATACAAGTATATCCACTGAGCAAAATTACATTTGCACACAAAATTAGTACATAAATTGTACAAACTCCCTAGTTACGTGAGTACACAAGCAATTCATACTATTTGTTTATAAATTTATGTACAACAAAAGTGACCCATGCATACAATGATGGGCGAAGTATATTCATACTCCTTCCATCCCTTAAAAGTTTGACATCTTTCCTTTATGGGACGTCCTAAAAAACATTGTCACATTCCCTTGTAATCAATTATTTTGTGGTTCATATTATTCCTCTCTCTTCTACACAAACCTCAATCACACAGTTTTTACTTTATTATTCCATGTGCTCGTCAAACTTGACAAAGTTTTAAGGGACGGAGGTAGTATGTACTACTATCGTACTGCGTATATAAAAACCATACTACATATATCAAAACTGCAACGATCCTACATCGATCAAATATGAGCTTGATCGGTGGCTTATAAGCTAGGTATCTCCTCCTCCTAATCGTTGGTCTTTTGAGAGTGACTTCTACATGTGAACTTATGATCTTGATATGGGCCTAGTAGTGGCTTGGGCCCCGAGGGGTGCCAACCGTGACTAGAGCTGGTTCGGTATGGTATACCGAAATTTCAATCTCATACCGCATACCGTACCGAAAATCCGGTATTGGTAAATGTCATACCGTTACCATACCGAAACTTTCGGTATACCGAATTTCGGTATACCGAAAATTCGGTACGGTATGTAACCCATACTGTTTTATACCGAAAATTCAAAAAAATAAACTTCTTGGCAATTCCGTATAAAGTATTAGCTTAAGGGGCCTACCGAACATCCAAAAAACTGATTTTAACAAGTCAAAACTAGCATATGACATCAATACATAAACCGGTACCAAAACTAAAACACAATATTTAATCCAAAGTAGAAAATACTAAAATTATGTGCTAATATCTCAAGTCTCAACACAATTCATAATGACAATTAGAATATTTATCCAACATAAATCAATGATAACTAATGTGGGTAATAACAAATCTTTGAACCATTGTTGCAGCTCCAAAAGATAAGTCGTCTAACACTTCACTCCAAAAGTTGTATTTACATCCTCCCAATTTTACATATTTAGACAGACAAGTGGAACTAGTACATAACAAGAATTGTTGTGAAACACCTCGTGCTTTCAGCGCTCTGCAATAATATAGTTCATCTTGCTGTGATTCAAACGATCATTCAACTTGTGTTACACATAATCAGAGGATTGTTCTCAAGAATCATTAAGATATGTAGTGTCTAAACTCTAAACAGCTTGGTAGGAAGTTTGCATTATGTTTGGAAACCCCACTACGAAACTACGAGAGGGAAAATGGGGAAGAATTAATACAATTAATCATCACAAATCCCTTTAATACATCTTTAGAACATTTGTGTTGATGCAAAAATATTCCTTCACGGTTCACAACCACAATTTTTTAAGTACCCCGTCACTCGTCCGCATCTCCATCGTCAATGCTCAATAGTCTACAGCTCTGTCACTCGTTGAAGAGAAGAGAAGTTGCTTGACTCTAGGTTGATTTATTTGATTAGGGATTTAGGTCTCTACTTGGGAGGACTGGAGAAAGGCTGTAGTATTATAAGATGGGTTATTTTTAATTTTGGGCCTTGGTGTTTTAATAATTTCATTTAATGGGTTTGGCCTTAAAAATTTACAAATTCTATTTCGGTATTTCGGTATTTCGGTATATACTGTACCATACCGAAATTAACGGTATTTCGGTATATACCGAAATACCGAAAATTTTAAAAAGTTCATACCTTTACCGTACCGAAGTGACCTGGTATGGTATCATACCGTACCGAACTTTTCGATATACCGAAAATTTCGGTAAATTCGGTATTTTTCGGTATGGTATGGCCGGTATACCAAAATTTCGGTATATTTTCCCACCCCTAACCGTGACAAACATAGCCGTATCCAACAATGACGTTGACTCTTCGAAGCGTGAGGTATTGTAATGATCCCATATTGATGAAGTACGGTCTTGATTAGTTGCTTATAAGCTAGGTGTCTCCTCCTAATCGACTAGTCTTTTGAGAGTGAGTTCTAAACGTGAATTTATGACTTTGGTATGGATTTAGAATGCACTAGGTTCATATCAAAAACTTACAAGAGAAGACGTCACCTACATCAAAATTTTCGCCGGATAGTGTACTATACTTTCAGATGGAAAAGTGCTAATATTGAAAAAATTATTAGTTACACGGCCGAATACACAAGTAAGTAAAATTATATGACAAAAACGGGACTAAATTTACAATCTTAAAACGATCATAAGTAGATAGAAACCCTAGTTAGGGCAAGGGATCTCAAAATCTCACCAATTAAACTTTATTTTTTAATTATTTGAGCGAGGAATGTACCTTCTGAATCTGGTGCTGCGTCAGAATAGGAAAGCTGCCGGACTGAGAAGCAGCGTCGAGATAGGGTGGCTGCGCGGCGGCCTGCGCCATCAGTTCCGGAGTTTCCAAGGTCATCTGATCCATCTTAAATCTTAATTAATTACTCGATTAAGAATTTCTTTAACTCTCTAAAAAAGGAATTTCCTTAATTCTCTAAAAGGAAATTCCTTAATTAAGCAAACATAGATCGATCGATATAGATCCGAGCTATAGGCCTAGATTTAATTAAGTGCGTAATCTGTGATTACGGTGGAGATTTGCCGGCTTAATTTAGAATTTCAAAGTCCGATCCGATTGAGCCCTATACAGCATATACGACCACGCGGACTAACGTGGGCCCAGTGCAACGAGTTCCGCATGTCCACTACGAATTGCATGTAATCCCTGGAGTAATTAAGAGTGAGCTTTTACATTAAGAGAAGAATTCCTTAGATAAGAGAAAAAGTTTTGAAATTCCAAAATAGGAGTATCATGTTTTTTATTCCGAATATGAGTAAATTTCTGTCAAGTTTGGCATTACTAGCTCTAAAACATGGCATTTTTTTACAAACTTAGCAGATTACTCCTATTCAGTGAATAAAAAACATGATACTCCTATTTTGGAATTTCAAAACGTTTTTGCTTCTATTTAGGGCAATTTCTATTACATTAAATATGTAGTTCCTGGGTCCAACTATAATTGTCTCGTTTCTTTTTTATGTTGGTGATGGAGTATATGGCCCGGGAACCCCCGGCCCACAGACTCCTACGACTCCAAAAGGCCCAACAGGCCCAAATCACGGCACCCAGAGTACCAAGCAGCCCGCAATACGCACCAGGGGTGCCTTCGGCCCCCTGGCCGAAGGCTCCAAACTATCACAGCATGGATATTTCGAACAAACAGAGGAACTGGGAGAAGACGGCGAAAATAGTAGCCCTCGGCACCTGGAGCCCTCGGCACTCAGAGGTCTCGGCACTAGGAGCCCTCGGTTAGTCCTCTGCAGCCGAGGGCACCTCTCCCGACATAATATCCGCGCCACATGCGTACAGATCACCGTACCCTGTACAGACATCCCATCCAACAGCCGCATTAAATGCGGCCACATGCGGCTGCCAACGCCAACCAGTTGAGGTGACCTCTCGGCCAATGGGCGCTTGACATGTGTCCCTGTCCGGCATTTATTGCTACTATAAATAGCACCCCATTTCCCCATTTGTAACCGCGCTGAAAACGCTCCACACTTATAATATACTTTCTCTCTCTACATTTGCTTGCTCTGACTTCTCTCTTATTACTCCCCGTAATAACCCCTCGGATATATACCCCCCGGGTAGACTATCCATCATTTGGTGCTCTCGTTGAGAGGCCGAACAATCAAGTAAGAAACCCTCCCCCTTCGCCAAACCCTAGCCCTCTACCAAAAATGGTGAGAACAACATGTGCCAACTCCAAAAACGTGGAAGACAAGAACCTGGCCCTCGGCGACGTCAACGCCCCCGAAGCCTCTCACAGGGCTCCCGAGGGCGGTGTCATCGCTGGGCTGGAACAGGCGGCTGTCGACCTACGCCTTCAGATCCAACAGAATGCCCCCGATGCCCGCCTCGGCATCGAGGCCAAGAAGAAAAACCGGAGCGATGACCAAGTCAGCCCTCCGGTTCTCACCATCGACGTGCAATCGGCGCTCTCCGCCTTCATCCAAATGCTCACTCAGAACCCGGGTGCCTTCGGCACCCTGGCTCCGGCTCAACCCCAGGTGGGGGAGAACATCATACTTCCCCCTCTGCCACACCCCTTCGGAAACCCCACCCCTCGGGTGAGGAACGACGAAGGGGTAGTGGCCCAAGATACGTCCTCCCAGGAAGTTCAGTCCCGGGACCGCCACAATGACGACAGAGAAAGGCCCCGCACTTCCGCCCTCAACCGGCTCGGAGGAGGGCCAGACCGCCGAGGGGTCCAAGACCGCCTCGGAGGGACCCCCAGGAACACTACAACAAATATCAAAACAGCATGATGATGGTAGGGGCGTCGGACGAATATTTGTGTCGTTGGTTCCTCTCCACCGTAGAGGGGCCGGCATACGAATGGTTCAACCGGTTGCCCGAGGGCTGCATTGATTCGTGGCAAGAACTCGCCCAGCGATTCTTGACACAATTTGCTGGGAGGCGTCGCACAAGGAAGCACTTCTCCCACCTCCTAACCATACGCCAAAAGAGGGATGAGACCCTTCGGGACTTCCTGGAGCGCTGGAGGACGGAAGCCGACGAAGTCGACGGTGCTGATGACGGGACCCTCCTGGCCCTCCTACAAACCGTCCTCCGCACCGGCAACTTTTCAAGGAGCCTCATCATTGAACCCCCCCCCCCCCCCCCCCCCCGCGACTACATAAGGGCTTTGCAGCGGGGGGATCGATATGCTGAGGCCGAGGAGGTGGAGAAATACCACCAGCATCCGGATCAGCATCCCCCGAGGGCTGACAACAAGAACAACCGAGGGCCGGGGGCTCCTTCATATCACCTCAAGTCTTCAGGACCCTCTGATGACCGCCCTCGGCAAGGCCAAGCCAAGCCCGGGGGAGGCTATAAGAGCAGCCCTAAGACTTGGGCACAGCCCATTCTCCTGGACCGCCCTCGGACGCCATTGACGCACCCCGTCAGCATCATCCTTGATTTTGCCGAGGAGAGGGGCCTCGTTGAACGCGATTCTCGCGCACCCCCGGAGGTACATGCTATCAATCCTCAGTTCCCCTACTGTCGTTTCCATCGGCACCAGGGGCACAGAACCGATGACTGCCATCAGCTAAAGACGGCCATCGAGAGATTGATACAGGCGGGGCACCTGTCCCAATTTATCCAGAGCCCTCGGCAGGAGGGGCCTTCTCATCAGGGACCTCCCCGAGGGCACCACATGAAGGTAAACGCTTGGGTGAACCCGAACACCATCCCCCTCGGCAAGAAGAGGGAGATCGGAAACTTGGAGGAGGAAGAGGAGGAGTACCCCCACTACCAGGAGAAAAAACGCCACATCCTCATGATCACCGGTGGCAATACAGGGGGCGATTCCACCAGCCAGCGGAAGAAGTGGGCTCAATCGCTTTACGTGGGGGAGGTCACTCATATGCCCCCGGTAAAGCGACTGAGGGAGGAACCCATCACCTTCACCAACGCAGATCTCCCTCCTACTTCTTCTCCTCACAGGGATGCCTTGGTGATTCGGACTGAAATAAACGACACCATCATTCACCGAACTTACATTGACACGGGCAGCTCCGTCAATGTAATGTACCTCAGCACCTTCAGAGAGCTGCATCTGGAGAGGGGGTCCCTTCGGCCCATTAAGACCCCTCTTGCCGGCTTCACCGGCGATACTATTGATTCCGAGGGGGTAATAACCCTCCCGGTGATCTTCGGCGACGGGCTCCATAGAGCCCAGCTCGAAGTGGAGTTCGTCGTCGTCAACATCGACTGCGCCCACAACATCATCCTCGGCCGGCCAGCCCTCGAGGACCTCGAGGCCATCATCTCCATGAGGCACCTCTGCCTCAAGTTTCCCGCCGAGGGGGGCATTGGCTACTCCCGAGGGAATCAGAAAATCGCCCGCGCCTGCTATCTTCAAGTCACTAAGAAGGTAAGTAAGACGGAATTCCGTGTTGACACCATCACCGGAACCATCGACCAAGAAGAAAAAAGGCCGAGGGCTGAACCTGCCGAGGACGTAGAAGACTTTGCGCTCGATCCGGCCCAGCCGGAGAGAGTCGTGAAGATTGGAGCCCAGCTCCCTGAAGATCTGAAGACCGGTATCACCGATGCCCTCCGCGCCTACTCCACTGTCTTTGCATGGGGGCCGGAGGACATGCCGGGAATCAGCCTGTAATATCCCGAAAATTTGAGAGAATTTGGGAAATAATTAAAATTGTGTTTCATATTGTTTACACGGTCTTTAGGTCGTTTATTATGTTTGGTTTAGTGTTTGGGACAAAGGGGAGGTCCAAATGGGGAAGAAACGGGGCAAAAACTAAGGTTTGGGGCGTCTGGGGGTCACGCACGGCGTGCGTGGAAGGTACGCACGCGTGCGTTCCTGTTGTATCCTAATGCAACTCAAACTTCGGAAATTCACTATAAATACATCCCTAATCCGATTTTCCTCATTCCAAAAACCCTAGGATCGCCTTTTTAAGCTTTATCCCTTCCATCTCTTCAATATTAACGTATCCAGCACGAAATTTTATGCCAATGATGAGATCAAACAATCCAATATTCCGGTAAGTGCGTTTGTTGCCTAATTCGCGTCGTTCATCCGTTTCCTAAATTTCTTTCTATTAAATTGAGATCCTTCGAACCTATCACTTCCTAGGTACGTGAGAATGATCCATCAAACTAGATTTGACGTTTAGGATTCGTTGCTAGCCTCGAGGTAAGGACTATTGCAACCAAAATTACTATTTTGCCCCTATATTGTATAAACTAGGGGTTGTGCTATGATTTGAGTTTCTTTCTGAAATTTTATGGATAATTCGGTTATAATAGTATGAGTATGATGATGTATGCTTTTCTGGGAATTTATGAACGTGTGATTTTTGGTGAATTTATCAAATCAGTTTATCATGGCTAAAATTGTGATTTTTGATGATTGTTCTTTTGGGATTGGAAAATTTTGGTGATTGTTTTGGTATGAGTTGAAGAATGATTTGAGACTATTATAACTGGTTATATTGAAAATATATTATGGGTTCAGAATACTCCAATTTGTTTATTTTGGTGGTAGTAGTAAATGCTACTTTTGGGAAGTGGTTGTTTGGGTTAAACCCTCTTTTTGGAAAGTGTTGTGAGATCAAATCTTTTGGGATAAATTATATATTTTTAAATGTATAATTTGGTATGAAAATTTACATATATATTCTGGAGTTATAAATATCCTTATTGGATTATTTTGAATATGGTATTAAATACTATTTTGGAACTAGTTTTGGATAAACCCTAAATTGTAAGTTTCTTTGCCAATCCAAAATTGTTTCCTCGTATTACATGCATATTATGCATTATGTGATTAAGTGTGAATTGTGAATTTTGTGTATGTGATTTTGAGGAGATATTATATATATGGTAGTTGAGAAATATAAATTAAGAGTACTTTTTGGGGTATTAAATATTTTTAAATACCTTTGAGATTATTTAGAGAGATTGAGAAGTATTTTTGAAGTA